AAATACCTTTTAAATTGTTTACCTTCTCTATTTTTAATAAAACATTTAACTCCTTAATGTAGTACTTCTTAAACTATTTTATTTTATTTTATGGATCTCACTGAGAGATGGATTTAAACAAAACACAAAAAACGTTGACTTTATCCAGAGAAGTATTCACATTGGATTTTAAAATTTTGAGGGAATTCACAGCAGACAATCAGAAATATATCCACGTGTTCTTTAGTCTTTAGATCAGTGAGTTTAAATAATTGAGAAGTTATTTTTATTCTTAAGATAACTCTTCACTCATAAACTAGAAGATACGTAGAAATATGGGGTGATTTTTTAAAAAAAAAAGATTTATTTTTATTTGAAAGGCAGATTTACAGAGAGGTAGAGAGAAAAGATTTTCCATCTGCTAATTCACTCCCCATATGGCTGCAGTGGCCCGAGCTGGGCCTATCTAAAGGAATCAAGAGCTACCTTTGGGTCTCCCATGCCGATACAGAATTGCAAGAACTTGAGCCATCTTCTATTGCCTTCCTGGGCCGTAAGCAGAGAGCTGAATTGGAAGTGCTACAGCTGGGACATGAACTGGCATCCGTATGGTATGCTGATACTTGTAGGTAGAGGATCAGCCTGTTGAGCCACTGCACCAGCCAATATGGGGTGATTTTTAAAAGTTCATGCTGAAGAGAACTATGCTTTTTCTTTCTCTCTCTCTCTCTCTCTCTCTCAATTTGGCACCAATAGTATTGACAAAGGTATTTATTGATTTGAGAGGCAGAGGCAAACCTAAGGGCCAAGAGTTCACTCCCCAAATGCCACATTGGCCAGAGTTGGATCGGCTGCAGTTGGGAGCCTGAACCTGAGTTCAGGTCTCTTATTTGGGTGGCTGGGACCCAACTGTTTGAGTCATCACCTGCTTCTGCTCTGGCTATATCTTAGTAGGAATTTTAAACTGAGAGCAGAGCTGGAACTCAAACCCATGCCTGTGATCTGGGAATGTGAACATTAGTTAACTAACAGCTTAATTGATAGGCCAAAGAGCAGCCTCTTAAAAAAAAACATTAAAATGACATCTGAATGAGTTTTTAGCTGGTGAATTTTTACGTATCCTTTAAAGTTCCTTGAGTATTTTTTATATTCTCCAATTTTAGCACATTTGTATTAAAATTACTAGTTTACTCATTTTTTCTGCTAGATTATGAGCTTAAGGAATATGTGTTTAACATCTCTCTACAAGTTGAATGGTTCTTAAGCTGAGAATCTGAGATTTGAAAGTTTCTGATTTGGGAGTTTGGGATTTTCAGGGTAAGGATACACAGCCAGTAAAATCTATGTGAACACTTTAAACTTGCAGAGTGCAAAATCTGAAACATTTCTGGCCACAGGTATTTTGCATAAGGGGTACCTAACCTGCATTCACACTTCCTTTTTTTTTGGTACTTAGAGCGTAGCAGATACTGAACAAAAAAAATTTTTAATTAATTTAAAAGGGAGAGTGGTAAGTGTAACGGGGAGGAGGGGTGAAGAGATCTTCCAGCTGCTAGTTTGCCCTATAAACAGCCACAACAGGGAGCCTGGGCCAGGCTGAAGCCAGGAGCCACAAGTATTTGAGTGTCATCTGTTACCTTCCCAGGCACATTAGCAGCAAACAGAAGCAGAGAAGTATAACTGGAACTATACTCTGATATGGGACAATGATGTCCCAAACTGTGGCCTAACCAGCTAGCCATACCCCTATGCCAGCTCCTGGAGAAATGTTTACTGCATTAAAAAGGAAAACAAAAGTGAGTAACTTTGAGGTAACATGACATTTATGAAACAGTGATTTGGTTGTAGAAATCATGCACTATGCCAAAATAAATACTACTAATAAGAGTTGCGCTTCTGGAATGGCATGAAACAGTAGGACAAGGGAAATAAATTGCATTTAAGGTGACATCAAAGTCATGACATACTTAGGAATACATTTAACTGAGGTACAAATCTTGTGCATTGAAAGCTACACAATATTGATTGCTTAGAAAAATGTAAGTTCAAAATAGAGAAAAAGTTTTATTTGGTTTCTTTAAAAATTATTTAGGTTACAAATTCTATGGGCCGGTGAGGAACACCCTGGGTTTCAGCATTGGCCAGCCAGGGTGAATCACATGTGACCTGCATGACCCATCACCAAGTAACTGGAAGTTGTAAATGAAACTTACGTTGTGAGGGTGTGTGGGCCTCTGGAGGTGCCAAGAACCTGTTCTCTCTCACACGGTGTTTTATTGGGTTGTGCTTTAGTATGAAGCTTTCTCATTTAATGAAGGACCTGTTCAATTGAACCCCCATTTTCTTCTTGCCAGACTTAGTTGGAGTTTCTCCATTTATCTTCAAACTCTATTGAAAGCTTAAACTTTAATTACTTATTTTTCATTGCTTAAGTTCCTTTTTTGATTATCTCTTTTTTGGGAATTCTGTATTTGTTTCCTGGATATAGACTTCTTTTTTTTTTTTTTAGGATATTATCAATACTGGACATTAGCAATGTAACAATACTATTACTGAAAATTCTAATATTAATTTCAGTACATTAATGATAACACTAATATTACTACTAGTATTAATAAACTTTCTTTGTGTATGCTTAATTTTCAAGTTACTTTATCTTTCAGATTCCTGTTGTTTCAGTCAGAGTCCCAGGGTCGTCCTCAAATCTTGGTGATCCTCGGACTGCTTTTTACCCTACGGTGGGGCATGAAAAAGCTTTGCTTGAACCCAGTTCTGTTCAAGTCTCTGGATCCAGCTGCCAGCTTGTGGGAAATACCAAGGATGAAGGAATATCCTGAATTGTACCATGAGAGCAAACAGCAAAGCCCAGGCTACTACACACCGTGCAGGTCCTGAAAAAAAAATTTTTTTTTAGATTTATTTATTTTCATTGGGAAGGCAAATTTACAGAGAGAAAGATCTTCCATCTGCTGCTTTACTCCCCAAGAGGCCACAATGGGTTGATTTGAAACTAGGTGCCAGGAGCTTCTTTTGGATCTCCCACATGGGTGCAGGGTCCCAAGGCTTTGGGCCATCCTCTGCTGCTTTCCAAGGCCACAAGCAGAGAGCTGGATGGGAAGTGGAGCAGCTGGGATGTGAACTGGAGCTCTTACGGGATTTCAGTGCATGCAAGATGAGGATTTAGTCACTGAGCCATGTTGTCTGGTATAATCCACGGATAAAAATGGAAAAAAAAGCAAGAGAGGGATACTTACAGACTAAATGAGACTTTCAAAACTTAAATGTGAACAAACCAAACTATTTAAAAATGACTGAAATAGTTATGTTTATATATTTTATCATGATTAAAAACCAACAGGAGGCAAGACTGTGCATCTGTAGGACACAGGAGGACCTTAACGGTGCCCTTTGAAGTTCTGTGTCATGACCTGGGTAATAGTTTCATGAGATTGTTAGCTTTTTGTTGATCTTAAATTTGCTTACTTTCATCTTCAGTGTTTTCTCTGTGTAGAATTTGAAAGCATTTTTATACCACCAGTAGACTGGCGGCTCTGCCGAGGCCCACTGCTGTGTCCTGGCCTGGGGGGATGGCCTATGCGGGCATTGCTGGTCAGTGAGGGAACCCTTTGGTGTTCCTTTCTCTAGCTCATCCGTAGGATCCCTTCACGTGATTAAGAATTTCTAAGGACCACAGCAAACTTTGGTTTCTGTGGGTTATATCAATATTTACTATAATAAATCAAAATTGATTAAAAACTTTTAATTCATTAAAAATGACCATAGTAAACCCACTACATAAAAATGTTTTTAAGAATGTTTTTCTAAACAAATTGTTGGAAGGCTGATATTTCTGTGAATTTTCAAAAATTAAGAATTGTTTTAGTGCAAGTCAGGCAAAGAGATCTGTTGGTTTATTGCCCAGATGGCCTGCGATGGCTGATTCTGGGCTGGGTTCTCCAGCCAGGAGCCAGAACTCAACTCCACTTGGGTTTCCCTGTAAGTGGCAGGAACTCAATTACTTGAGCCATTACTGCTGCCCCTCAGGGCCTTCACTGACGGGAAGCAAGACGTGGTAAATGATGTGTAACCACAAGGCCAAACCCTCCTGTGAATCTCTTTGATGTCTAGCTGAAGAGAAGACAGCTAAACTCACATCTGTTTCTGCTTTTTCTGTTTTGCAGCCTTTCTCCACGATTGTCAGAATGAGAAAGGCATCTAATGGTGTAGTATTTTGAAAATAGAGCTGCCCGTGAGAGTACCTAGGCTGTCTGGAGCACACTTTGGGAACTATTTCTCTTGAGCTGGGCAGCTTCTCCAGCAAAGACTTTCTGTGTGGGAAGCCGTCAGTGCTGGCCCTGTCCTCCTGTCTCCCGGCTGTCAGCATTCCGACGTTCCAAACAGAATGGAGCTGTAAAGGTCACTGTATTCCTTGCTTCTTGACATAGTGTCCTGCATCCGTTGTTCTTGGTAACTCCCAGACCAGGAACCCAGGCAGCCTTTCCAGTAATCCTCTTGCATGCTGCTGTTTGTTGCCTGCATTCATTACTGAGGGAAATCAAGTTAGTGGCTGATGATTTGTTTCCACTCCAAGTGTACAGGTTCTGCCAGTCCACTATTAATGAATATACACGTTTTCTAACAATTATTTTAGTTTCCAACTATGTTAAATTGATAGTTGCTATATATATTGAGCCATGTTACATTTTATATGTGCTGTGTCCTGTAAGCTTCACAGTAAGAGGTGCTGTTTCTCTTACAGCTGAGAGAATTGAGGCCTGGGAAGATGATGTTACTTGATGGTGGGTCATGCAGGTCACATGTGATTCACCCTGGCTGGCCAATGCTGAAACCCAGGGTGTTCCTCACCAGCCCATAGAATTTGTAACCTAAATAATCTTTAAAGAAACCAGATAAAAAATTTCATTATTATATAGCAGCTTGTTGTAACTGATTAGGTAAAGTGATTGTTGCGTGTCACTCATTGTCTTAGAAGCCTTTAAGTGTTCTGAATTTTCCATGAACTTTTGGAGCTGCCCTTGCATAGGGGAAAATCAGGGTCTAGTTGAGCATTAAAATATATATTAGGTGTTATTAGCTACCTAGCAAGGAAGAAGTTACAGGGTGGAGGAAATAATGGAAAATACGCAGGACTAGTTTGATTTGGACCTCTAAGTTCCCCTAGGTATCTTTTTAACATGTTACATGCAATACGTTTTTGCTTTCGGTGGGGACTATAAATTACAGAAATGACCAGTTTTATCTCTTTGTCTGTTCCCACAGCCCCTCTGTGTGGCAGGCAAGCAGAGGGCCAAATGTGTGGACCAAGTGTTGTCAATGATCTGTGTATTGATGGCTCCAGGTGTGCATATGAGTGTGGGTAGCCACATTTTTTGTTCTAGTACCTGTCTCATTTTCCTCACTTTGAATTGATGTACTCTTTTCAGCATGGGATTGGTAGGTACTTGCATACGTATATGTACAGTTCCAGTGACAGGGAAGTCTAAGGTGGGTTCCGACAGCTCTACCTTCTGGGGTACACAGGCCTCCCACTTAGGTACTCAAAAACAAGTTTAGGCGCTACTTCATGCGATTCTGCAGATATAATTAAGGTCTTTCAGGTGACTTTAAAATTAGGTGACCCCTTGAGAAAGGGGGAGGGCCTTAGGAGAAAAAAAAACCCAGAGGCCTGTGACATGGGGGAATTATCCTTGTGTGCTTTGAAGACCACCATGGTGTGACACTTCTCTCCTGCAATGGCAAGGACCCAGACTCTGCCCTAGCAGGAGAGGGCTGCTGAGCTGCAGGTGGGAACGCAGCTGGCTGATGGTGACTTGAGCCTTTCCAGAGCTGAGACGGAGGACCCAGCCACCACACGCCCAGACTCCAGAACGGTGAGTCACGAATGAATGTTGTCTGAAGCTTCCTAGTTTGGGCTAATTTACTAAGCACTTTGCTTCACAAAATTGCAAGCATTGTTTGTTAAATATTTATTGATGTTAAGTCCACATTACACCAGCACAACAATCCAAAGTAGTAAGATAGTACTTCTCATGATATAAATACAATGTAAAAGGTGGCAAAATAATGCTAGTTAATCCCAAACCAAGAAAATTAGCAAAAGTCATATGCAGAAAAATTTGGCAAGTAAGGTATGACATAAATCGTAATTCTACAATATATAGGCTCATGGGAGACCTTATGGTAATTTAAATTCTGCATTAACAATGCATGTAAGGATGCTCAAAGACACTTGTACCACGCTGCATACCTGCCACCCAATGCTCAGGCCTCGAGTCATTTAAAGCTTGGTAGGTTGGTGTTCAAAAAGAAGTATAAAGCTGTACATGTGAAGTAGTAATAGGAAATACATGGGGTGGTACAGATAGAAAAACATTTAAAAAATACTACATATGAATTGAGTAGCTAAGAGTTCAATACCTTTATTATAAATAATGAAAGATATATATGTGTTTTGTATAAGGAATACAGTGTTTTCATAGCAAAGTACCATTAAAGCCTCAGGTTTTATACCATTAGGTCAAATTATTTTTTCTCCTTTTAAAAATGTGTTGGTTCCGACTTAAAGCCATGAAGTCTGGTCAGAGCCAGCTCAGTTGAGCTGCCGCAGAATCGTGTGCATTCCAAACGCAGTCTTTGCTGAGATGCTTTCACAAGCTACTTAGAACCCAGCACCTTGCTAAGGTGAGGTTTCACGGCAGCAGGGAAGTGGACAGTAATTTCCACTCGCTTTTCTTGGTGCCACGGAAAAATGCATTCTGGCACACCTTTCCCTCAAATAGAGTAGATGCTAAAGGCAGTTTCTCATTTATGCCACTCTTCAGTCTCAATCCATTTTCAACTTGCTCTACACGTCTAAAGTCTTCAACTGCTACACAAACAGACACACTGAAATCTCCGTAACGCATGTGCTCCAGCCTTCCTGCTGTCCCCAGACCCCTGGACTTGGAATGGCAGTGTTTTGTCACCTACACTTTAAAGAAAACCAAAGAAAAGCCTGGTCTTTGCCACCTCTCCTGCCCCTTCTACTTTAATCAAAATGCAGTACACTTAAGCTGTTAGCATTTCCCTTCATTGTCCTCCCGACTCCTTCCAAACCTGTGTTTCCTCCTGATCTGTTTGTGCCTTGCTCATTGTGGTAGGTTAGATGCCTGCCTTTCCTGAAATGGCCTGTACCCCAGTATTACCACTTTTTTCAGACTATATTATCTAAATTAGCCTTTTAATATGGTTTGTAAATAGTTTTCTCCCAAGGTGGCATGAGAAGCAAATACCCAAACAAGAGCTAAGGACTAGGATATTGACCTTCTAAGAAAAGCCCTGATATGAATCCCATTTAAGGCAAGTAGTTTCTTCCTTAACTGTAAAGTAGTTTGCAAAGACAAGGCATTTACTTGGATTTCTTTGTTATTTCCGTTTTCAACCTGACATCATTGCACTCGGTTCATCTGTAGATGTGTGAACACAGCACGCTTCCGAATCCTCGTAGTAGGAGTGGTGGTACAGTTGCCTCATGTTAAACTTACTTCACACTCTGAAGCTTGTAGCACCTATAGCTTGTGTTTAAAGGCACTTGTACATAATATACATTGTGGTTTCCTTGGAACAAATGGATTTCCTTTAGCATTTTGGCATTTCAACCGCTTTAATCACAGCAATTCCAAAAGTTTTAAGCTGGACAATAAATGTGAGTTTCCTGTGCAATGTGTATTTCTATTAGCATCACCTACTTAAACTCTAAGTTTGGTAATATCAAGTAAGAAAAATATTATTTTAGTGTTGTTTCATATAGTCAAAAATGCATTTGTCTTTTTCATAATGCAAACAGGATGGTGTTGATAGAGACTGTGTCTCCACTGTAACCAGAACGGGGCTTACAGGTCCTCACTTTCCACCAAGCCGGGAGTCAGCGTCAGGTGAGATGGGCTGGCCTCGGGCTGGAACGCTGCTCTGATGTCTAGCCCCTGGTCCGAAAGTGCTGCGTAGCGGCTGGCCGAGGGCCGGACTTTTTTGGGCTTGGTGCTCTGTGGCTGTTGATGCCACTGGGCTGCAAAGTAAAAGAGTGAATTCAGATTATTCAGTGTGAAGCACTTGGCTGTTTCAGTATGTCAGGTGTATGTATATTCTTTGTGAATTCACCCACAGTGGAGACATGGAAAATTAGGGTTACAGTGGCATTTTACTCATATATTGTAGAGTTATCTGTATGGGCTAGGGGAGCCATAACAATAAGGAAAGAAAAGCCAAGTGTAGTCTCTTCAAACAGTGCAGCACAGGGAATCTGTTCAGGCAGTTTTTTCCCTTTGGTAGTGACGGATGGATGTGAAAAGCAGTACAGTAACTGAGGAGACACTGATTTGCTGAGGAGCCTACAGTCTACTTGGTCAGGAATTTGAAGTGGGTTCTGGCTGTGAGCACATCATACCATACTACTATATAAAGACAGTTTTAATTTTGGATACATGAACACAAATATCCATTCACAAACATACTGCTGAGCCATTTCACGTATTCCCAAGAAAAGCACTGAACCACAAAAATTCGCATTCCAGGCTCAATGGTGCACACATTTAGAATGCATTAGGACACTATGCTAAGATTATAATATAGGAAGAAATGTTAAGAGTCAGTCTCTGCAGCACACTGTCATAGAATATGAAAACCACAGGGTTAGGCCTTTGTCTACTGTTAACTCCTAACGAAGCCACGACTGTCTTGGCAAAGTGAAAGAAACCAGCATGCATGCAGGTTTTGCTATTAATTCAAAATTCCCGAGTGATACTTGGTATTGTGCTCCTGGTCTGGTTCACTATTAATGTCGAGAAACTATAAATAGAAAAAGAAAGCAATATGAATTTTTTAGGTAAAAAAGGCAGGTAAAACAGTATGGTTGTTTCTGAGATGATCTGCTGAACAGATGTCTGAATTGGTCCTGGATCAGTGAGTGGCCGTGACGCGGGGAGAGGGGGCGGCACTCACTGTGAACGTCCAGCCTGGCAGTGCAGGACACGATGCCGGCCTCGTTCTTGGCAGACACGGTATACCAGCCGGCGTCCTCCTTTGTGGCTCCCTGAATGAGCAGGCAGATGTAGCCGTAGTTGTCCTGGTGCATGCTGGAGGCAAAGATAAAGTCATTAGGGCTCTAAATTTCCCCAAAGTGGCTGCAGACACGAAGCATCCTGTTTATTGAGGGCATTGGACACAGACCGTGCAAGCAGTAGATAATGGGGTCGTGCTTATTCTGGAGGGAGCACGGTCCCCATTACAGTTAATGGACAAGGAGCACAGTTTGGTGGCTGAATCAGTGTGTGCACTTCCTGCCCTGCCAAGGGTTGGCCTCCACAAAGACCACTGAATAGGCTCTCGCCACGGACGCTAGAGGACCAGCTGCTCTTTCTCATGTGGTGAAGTTTGTGTTTTTAATGAAGCATGTGCCTCACCACATGCCATGACAGCCTCCATGTGAAAGCTTACTCCAGCTCTGGGAGAGGAGGGTCGTGGTGTGGCAGGGCTCCTGCACTCCCAGGCTGGTGCCTTGTAGAGACTGCCAAATCCCCCAGTGGCCTCACCTCACTCGGTCAGTGCTGTGTGTGAGTGACTCATTCTCTTTCTTCCAGAATATCTGGGGCGGTGGCACTCCTGAAACACGGCATTCCAGCCGTACCGGGTAGCCTTCAGCGACTCCTGTGTTCTGCAGCTTCTCCAGAAACACGGGGGGTTTGTGCGCTTCTTTAGCTGCAACGAGATGAATTCCCTGTCAGCGATGGAGTGGGCACTCACCAAAGAATTCAGAGACCCAGCACGCTGCGCTCTTTCTTAAGGCCATTTTCACTTTGGGTGGTAGGAGGAGGCTCTGTCTCCAACTTAAGTTTTTTACCAAGCAAAGGTTCATTTGCTTCATTCCACTGACTCTTTCCTCAAATTAGGTCTGACAGACCCCCACAGTGCACTGGCCATCTGCCACATGGCATGCCTGACACCATGGGGAGATGCCTCAGTCATCACTTCGGCTTCACTCCTGAACTGCACTCACAGCCTTTACCAACTGCTGCCACCTAGTGACGGGACCATGACAGTGCTTCTGGGTTAGCTGCCCTGAGACAGCACAGCATTTCAGGGGAGGCATCCCTAACGTTAGCAGCCTTAAAGAGGTCCCTCTAAACTAGGAGTGTGTATCCTATAAATTACAAATTCTCCTTACTAGTTTTTGTAACACTATAAAAAAAGACAACTTTATGACTTGGTCTGAAAATTGCTAATAACACTGAAAGAAAGTTACCATCCAGTGGGAAATGGCTTTCTTGTCTCAGTGCTGAAAATTTCAGGGATAAGGTCTTATTTTCTTCTGAGCTACCTGTGACAAATTTGAGGATATGTGTCTATCTCCACCACCAGTGCCTCATCAAGAGACAAAAGAGCATTTCTGTTCATGCTGGATGTTGCCAGCTGCTTTGCTATGTATGTTTAAGCTCCTAGGCTTAAGGTCTTGAGTTAGAGGATTATATCTATGGAATCTTACATGATAGCTTATTTGCAAGGCAGAATTATGGGAGATTCATTCCCCAGTTCCTGTGGTGGCCAGGAAGGAGCTGGGCTGTCCCCTGTGCTGGCAGGTACCCGGTCGCTTGACCTCTCAGTGCATGCATTAGTGGGCAGCTGGATTGGAGGTAGAACAGCCTCTCCTAGACGGTAGAGGCACCGCAAGGCATGCCACACGATTACCTGACCAAGGCTTATTTAGGGGGAAGTAAAGTGAGGTTCATCTCATCCTATCTGAACAGATGACAGCGGTTAAGACACACTTTAATGTCAGAGAAACACACATTCCATTTTGAGCCACTGCATTACCAGGCCTGGTTATGCACATTTTATCTTAAGTCGTTATCCAAAGGGTGGGGAGGCCGAGATGGCAGTCAGTTACAAAGGTCGGCTACTATGTTTGCTCCAGGCCCTGCACACTGAGCTGTTGCCAGAAGTGCTAATGGAAGCGCACCAAGATACCTCTGTCCCTGGGCCCCTCCTGGGGCCTGAAGGACAGGGGTGATCAACGCATCTAACAACAGCTTTAGTGTGTGGTCGAAGGAATGAAGTCAACCCTGCTGTCTGGGAATATGGAATACATTGCACAAAACATTAAAAGCATGGATATCTTGCAGCACCACAATCCACATTTCAATCGTACTGTTGTGTAGAAGTATCTAGGTGCCGTGATCTGGACTGGGACCCTTGCTGGTGCCACCCACAGAGGAATCTCAGGTATATCCCGCTTTGGCCTAGACCAGCCCTAGTTGTTGCAGCTGTTTAGGAATTGAATCAGAGGATGGGGGATCTCTTTGAAAAACATTCTTGGATTTAAAGATTATTGCCCACAACATTAAGAGCTCTGCATATAAAGAATTTGCTGGGACCAGTGTTATGCTGTGGCTGGTTACTAGTTCCGGTTCAGGTCTCAGCTGCTTCGCTTTTGATCTAGCACCTTCCTGCTTGGGCCCCTGTACCCACTGGCGAGACCTGAAAAAAGCTCTTGGCTTCAGACAAGCCCAGCTTCTGCAGCCACTTGGGGGGTGAACCAGCAAATGGAAAATTTCTCTCTTTGTGATTCTGCCTCTCAAAAATAAAATCTTTTTAAAAATGAATTGATGTGTAGCAACTGCTTTAATTTGGGGAGTCCTGCTGCTGTCAATATTTCCCTATATGACACAAGGAGTGGAGCCAGGCAGCTGCTAAAATTGTTTTCTGTCTTGGCCAGGATGGTGGAAAAAAGGGAAGATAAACAAAAATGGCTGCAGTGAGAGCAGAACAGTTTCTGTGTATGCTAAGTCTTATATCCCCACCAGCTATTTTGGTGGCAGCATCTAATTTTTCCCCAGCAGTTTGGTCTATGTTCCATATTGACTAACACAGAGTGTGCTTCCATTGGTAAACCTGCAGAGAGAAAGGAATCGGAGAAGCCTACCAGCAACCACAAGCTCCAGGCTGAAGGAGTTCTGCCCTGCTCGGTTGGTGGCTATGCAGGTGTAGATGCCGGCGTCCCGCGCCGTGACGGGCTCTATGATCAGAGAGTGCACCCCGTTCTCACGCACCAGCATCTTGTGAGCGCTGTCAGGACGGATAGGCTTCCCGTCAAGCTGCCAGCTTAGGTCTGGAGTTGGCAGCCCACTGACCTAGGGCAGAAAGAAAATGCGTGTAAGTGTCTCTGATGTTAGAACCGAGTGCAGCCACTGCCAGCAAAGGACCAGCAGAGCTCGACCTCTGGCAGGACCAGGGATGGCCTTAGGATCTTTGGTTGCTCTTCGGCTTAGGGCCTTGCCCCGGCTCCCTTGCACACAGAACAACCCCAGGACCGCTAAATGAAGGTGACTAAGTCCCGTCCTCCTTTCTCCTCACCCAACGCAATAAAGATTCCTGGGATGCTGTCAGCATTAGGCTCTGAGGTCTTTGGACCACAGGTAACATCACACACACAGCTGGCATTTACACGCTACAAAGCAGCTCATTGGGGGCAGCCATGGGGACATCAGTCACTGCATCCATCCATACAGAGGATTATCGTTATTTTATAATCCTTGAAATGGAGTAAGAGCAGTATGAAATTACCCAGAAAGCTGTCTCAGCAAAATTAGCATTATAATGCAAATACCATAAAAGTTCGAGAACATAGCGGTTGTGTTGAGCAGAGATGCGATAAAAGTACACTGAAGTGCCCACGGCCCATTGTGCTGTGAAGGGAGGGACTGGACGGCTGATGGCCAGCTGCCAGCCTTCTAGTTCTGCCCAAGATTTGGAATGTGAGGAAGGCACCCAGCCCGCTCTCTTCAGCTTTACTAGTGGGAAATGATATACAAATAAATAAAAATAAAACCAGGCTGCAAAAACAGCTCAAGAACCACCTCTGCCAAAATTAGCCAGAGAACTCACAAGTTCCATTCCTGCTGATATGTGTTCACTTACAGCTACAACAAGGGGCCTCCCACACACAGCAGCAAAGGCCGGAGAACATAATGTCAATCTACATTACTGTTACAGGGGGGAGACTCTGGAAACAGCTGGGCCTCTGATCTCAGGGACAGGCCACCCCGTGCTCACTGCCTGCTGGGAGGGGAAGTGGACGTGGGGTCAGGTTCCAGGCTTTTCCCAAGTTGACAAATGAAGTGGCACTACCATGTGACTAAGTTAGAGCCCAGGCAGGTCGGGCCTTGTGCTGATGGAGGCTGTGGTGTGTCTACAGGCAGAGAGGCCCAGCATACTCACTCCCAAAGTCACAGTGGAGTCGTTCAGTGCATGCAAAGGGAAATAGCCAGTTCTGGCTGCAGTTTGCTGGGAGAGGCAGCAGAGCAGGCATGAATCCCGAGGACTGAGGGCGGCAGTATGGAGCAGGTTTGAACAGGTGATGCGCTCCATGTGCAAGGAGGTGGGATGGCTGGGCAGAGGGTCCTTGTTCCTGTAATAAGTTAATACCCACCCAAGGGGAGCTGGCATGTTGGCCTGCACTGCAGGGCTTCAAGGAGGAAAGTGAGCTAGGGTCCCAGCATTTGGCTTAGGCTCCAAAAAGTTCCCATCATCCCAAAGCTTAGCTATGTCATCCAGGTCAGATCATCACATCATGAACTCAACAAGAAAACATGATCCTTTTGATTTCAGTACTTCGTGATAAGAATAGGGATTCCAAGGCCAGGATTGTGTCCCTGAGCAGTGACGTAACAGTACTGTAGTTTCCTCAGGAGGGTGAGAAATGAGAAAACGGTATGGTGGCTCTGCACTCCTTATTCAGATGCACTTTATCATGCCCAGGGGGCAGACGTTGGTCTACTGGTTGAGGCAGTGCCTTGGGCCGGCATGCTGTGCTGCAGCCTGCCTGCTAACACACACCCTGGGGGGCAGTGCTCCCTGCTGGGGCCCTTGGACCTAGTGCTGGGTCCTGCTCCAGCTGCATCCACAGCTGGCTACTGCAGACATTCGCAGGAAGGAAATAGCAGATGGGAGATCTGTCTACCTTGCAAATGAAAAAGAAACTTTAAGTCTACTTCAGATATGTTATTTTACTACTACATAGCTCATAAGAATTACGATTCTAATTATCATCTTAAAATCATAAAATAGGCTGTAGCTTATCCAAGGAACTCAGTGTCACAGGGGGTCTGCATCCTTTCTGCTAGACTTTGACCAGAATTTTATGTGTTTTTTTTTTTTTTTGACCAATGTCTCTTCTACCCCCTAGTCTCTGGTGGCCACCCTTGTGCTGTCTGCTTCTGTAAGTTCAGCTTCAGCAGCTCCTACTGCATGATGTACCTTTTGGTGCCTGGAATATTTCATTTAACACAATGCTCTCCAGGTTCATGTATACTGTCCCGATGCTTCTTTTCAGGGCTGAGTTGTATCTGCTCTAGATGTCATCTACTAACAGATTCAGGGACCCCTGGGTAGAAGCACATCTTGGCTGCCAAAGAACATGGAAATGCAGACATGTCTCTGACATTCATCTTGTTTTCTTAAGATATACAGCCAGCAATGGGGTTGCTGGTTCACACGATAGTTCTTTAGGTTTTCAAGACTGAAAACACAATGAAATACATGGAAACTCAATGTAATCCTTATTTTAAAAAGTATTCTATGAAGGAAAATATCTTGTTAGAAATACATTTATTCTATGTATTTCTAGACGTTCACATCAACTTCTAACTTGCCCAGATCCTATATTTGTGTTCTGTAATTCCACAGTGAACCAGCAGAGGGAGCGCAAATAATTTTTTTAAACCATTCCTTTAGTAGCAAAACTATCACTAAGCAATGGGGCAAAGAATAAGACCAACAGAACCTCAGAGCATCGGTTCTTACAACTGTGTCACATACAATTTTGTTTATCAGCTTCTAAGGCCTACTCAGGGACTCTGGTTCAGGACTCCCTGCTGTGAGGCAGGAGGAAGGATGGCACTTAGTTCTGCAAATTACGGCGAGCAAGCAGATAGCAGATGAGTGGAACGGCATGTCTACGGCCAAAGCCTCAAGACCAACCAACGATCAGAACATACAGAAGGTCTATCCCAAGAACTATTTCAATGTGGAAAACAACTGCCCAGTGACTTTCTGGAGTATGGTGCATAGAAAACATGGTTAGTATAAAGTTTTTTTTTTTTTTTTTTTTTTTTTTTTACTTTTTTTTTTTTTTATTGTTGCTTACATTGTATTATGTAGTACAGTTTTATAGGCGCTGGGGATTCCCCCCACCCCTCCCATAACCCTCCCCCCATGGTGGATTCCTCCACCTTGTTGCATAACCATAGTTCAAGTTCAGTTGAGATTCATTGCTTGCAAACACATGCCTAGCATAAAGTTCAGCGTCTTATTGTCCAGATAAGTTCAGTGGCCTCTTGGGGAGACCTTCTATGGTCTGAAGATAGGTCTAACAGAGTAAAGATCCGGTCAGTTAAAAGCCCCAACAAGGCCTCAGTATCAATATACAACATTATGGAATTAATTGACATAGTAATGGGTAGACAATATGTTAAAAATAATGCAAGTTCCATTCTTCGAAACATCTGGGTTGAGACAAAAGCATGTTTCACATTTTCCTCCAGTAGGACCACAGAGAAAAGGCAGCGACGGGAGAAGTGGGGTGGAGGGTTGGTGGGCAACGGCACGCTCTTACCTTGCAATCCATTCTGCAGAGTTTGCCTTCTTGAATGGTCAGGTCACCAGGAGCTTGCAAGAAATGAGGTCTGAAGAATCGCTCCTGAATCGGTTCGTTCTCGTCCCCGCTGTCCCTGGACCGAGAGCGAGGCCTTAGAACAACATGGAGGGCAGACAGGCAGTGTTAGTGCTTGGCTTTAGGCTTAGCTTTTCTTATGAAACATGGATGATAGTGAGAAAACTTCAGAAAGCTCATGGAAATGGAATTAAGATTTTTATTGTGGCACAATTTTGAAATCTGTGCATTACGTTTTCATTACTACTATTCATGAATATGTAAAAGATCCTTCGCATGCATGAACTTGAAGATGTGTCACATTAAAATGACTGTCTGGTAATTGCACGTTCTAAGAGCTTTATGAAGTATCCGGTAGAACTCCTTACCTGACACCTACCCCCCAAGCAAAATCTCAGAAAAGTGAAATCTGACTAAAGTTGGATTTTTATGATAGCCTGCTGCTGACTGTAGTCGAATGTAAAGGCAGACACGGAACCAAGAGGTGGAGCACATCTTAGCATACTTGTCCCTCAGTGCTTGGGAAGCTTTTTGAAAAGTAGTTCAACTGCTACTCATTTATTAAGGAATCTGTGGTTTGAAAAGAAATTACTATTAACTTTCCATTGTGGCTTTCATTTTGTAAATTAAAAGTTTTTATTTTATACAAATGCAATATATTTTTAATCAAAATTCCTTCTCATATTAACCAGGCAAATAGCTTTTCTAGTCAACTTCACTTTTGTCTTAGCTATTCATGTTTCTTAAGGCATTATTTTTTTATTTAAAATAAAATTATGCAAATCTCTTAGCTGTATGCATGTCTCATTTTATGTTGCCAGAGGAACCTTTAAGAGGAATAATTTTAAAATAATTGCAAGAAAGACTCAAAAGGAGGAGGTAGAATATAAATTGTGTCAGTAATCACTGGAAGACAAGTTTAAAAACAATTAGGAAAAGCGAGACTTGGACCAGAGAAAGATTAGTGTACTGGGCTAATGCTTCAGCTTTTTAAAGCAAGTCCATATCTACCCTTCTGCATACAAATCTAATTTATGAGAAAAATTCTTCCAACTACCCACTGACATAAGGAAAAATTTAAATGTATTGAAGACCACAAGATGAGCAGAAGAGACTAATCCAAGACATGGATCACTAGCTGAGCATGAGATGTTTCCAGCCACCAACACAGGCCTGAGCTCCCAGGACCAGGCCCTGCCACGTCACACAGTGTGTCCACGCTGAGGCTGCGGGCTGTGTGGAGTACCACTCCAATGACACACGTGGAACGTTTCCACTCGGGCTCTGAGCCTAACGTGTCCTCACTGACAGTGTCTACGTGGACGGCCTGTATAAGCTTTGCCGTCAGGAGAACCTGTAAAATACCTCAACAGGAACCCCAGTGGACAGGCTGAGGGATTTAAGTGTGTTCTTTGTTACGGGTGATTGCTCTGTCTTCCTAAGAAGCAATGGCCTTTGCCCAGCCTTGTCTGTCATCATTCCATAAGCATTCTTGCATAGGTTCAGGGCTATCAGACACAAAGCACAATCTGATATTAGCAGATATTTGAACATTTGAAACAGGACAAATCTCACAAGTTTTATAATGTAGGGTCTGATGTTGTGGTGCAGCTTTTGTTTGTAACATCAACAACCCATAAGGGTGCCAGCCTTTCAAGTAAGGAAATCTTTTTTAAACAAATTATGGCCTAATGGTTTTAGGTTTGGACCTAAGCAGTTGAGCGGTGAACACTAAGAAACAAACTATTTTGTTGTTTCCCAGCCTTTTGGCTCAGCTCAAGTGTAGAAATGAACTATTTCAAGAAACGTGCTTACAGGAGCTGATGCCATCAGCTCACATGCTTAGAGAAGCATGGTTTCAAGCTTGGAATCCTTCTGGCAAATATTTCTGTGCATATGTGCCACCGTCGGCAGTAGCTGCATCTGGATTTCTCCGTATGGAAAACGTGCCCTAGGTAATGTATTCATGCTGATGTACCTCAGGCTTAAGCACACCCTGGCAAATGTCTGTTTCCTTTCCCTTTCTCTTTGTGAATGGCATAGTAGCATAATTATTGAGGAGCCAAACCAAATTTGTACTCCCATTCCAACTTCTCCTTGGGCTGGCTTCTATGGTTACGCTATGATTCTAATAGTAATAAACAGTTAGATAATGATAAAAGCACAGTAACAGCCTCTACAATACCTTCTGACATGAGGATGGCCTGAGGGGGAGCGAGGACTGCGACCTCTTTGGTTGACTGCCTGGACCATCAGCCGGCCGGTGCAGCTGATGCGGCCCTGCGGAGACACCAGAAAGAGGGGTTATTGACTTAGGTAAAACTATTACCCACCGAGCAGAGTCTTGTCTATTGGGCATTCTCCAACAGGTTACTATTTCCTAGCCAGCCAGTGTGCCATTAGCCATGACCCCGGCCCAGTTCAGGTCCTTACGCTTTCCTGTTATACCCACAACAGGATTTAACATGAGAGCCCTGCAGTGGACTTTATCCACAAAGATCTTCCTGACATCACAAGTTGAGCTGTGAAATAGGGCAGGACTGTGGTATTTTTTCTGGGGACTAGTCCGTTGCCATTCAGGTTGTTTCCACTCCTGATACCAGGATAGATGCTTTTTCTGGCAGATTGCTTTGGTGCTTGTTTCATGATGGGACACACAGTCACACAGCAAGGAAGATGTCAGCAGGATGAGACAAGCAACGGGTACGACAAGAGCATGGGACGGTGCGGGGAGCATCAGGATCATGTGGCACCATGCCTTCCTGAAGTCAGTGTACTGGAGATTGAAGCAGTGAGCTATCTGTAATGTGTGGGGCCTGTGATTAGTGCCTCTGCAGGAAACTGTCTGTGCGTGCTTAAGTTTGCCAGGTGACAGTTGAGAGCCGTCATTGTAGGGCACAACGAGGAGATCAGAGGACCACACATTGTTACTGCCTTTTGTTTCAGCTCCCTGTTTCGCTTTTCTGTAGAACTAGCAGAGTACCAGGATAGAGGATTTTCTCCTTTACTTTCCTCCTTCCCTTTCCTGAAGAATGAACAGATACATTTCAAAATTCTGATGTGGACCAAAAAGTAACAGCAGGCAAGCAAATATGAGGAGCAGGTTTCTCCTGAATGAGTCACCCTCGTGGAGTGTAGCTTAGGGGAGAGCAGCCTACACTTGGAATTCTACCACTGGCTCTCACTGTCCTTCCACGTTGGCTGCCAATGCTGAGAAGTAGCAGAAGCAGAAGGGTCCACATGTGTTGAAATCTGTATTCCAGCTGAGGGTGGGCGAGGCAGGGCTGGGGCTGGGTGGAACGTGTTTGTGCAGAGACAAAAGGCCTCACAGCAGGATTCAATGAAGGACCCAGATCTAGTCCTGAAGCCTGACAGCCCCACAGGAGTGGACGGGACCAGGAGCCTTCATCATTGCCACACGGAAAGGCATTCATGAGGGGCCCAGCGTCACCCATCTCATGTCACCAGAGATGTGGCTCCTCTGGGCACAGTGTTGAGAACACCATGAAGGAGGCGCAGAAGTAGGACGTTACTTCTCACCTTGAGTAACTGGGCCAGAAGCTTGGAACACATGCCAAACATTCCCTCACACTGAGCTCTCAGCAAACAGAACAGGCCCCAAACCAGCTTGAAATCTAACCATTATATCCCCTCAGGACCGACTGACCCATGTTTGACTGCTGTTCTCGTGGAACCCTATAACCATTATTTTCATTTCACCTCTCTAGCACTAGACTTGCTGTGGAAAATCTAGCTGTGACTTGCTTAAAAGAGCCTTATTATTATGCCTGCACTTAGGATAAGCTGCCCCCCCCCAACAGCCATGAAGTAGGGTACACAGTTGGGCATTTGGCTCCGCAGGGATGTCATGTCTCTATGCTGTTTTCCCTGCTACTGCTTAAACCACACACGCAAGTGTTGCCCTGGAATAGTTCATTGGCCTTCAAAAAGGATTTGTTCTCGTTTGCTCTTTTCACATGTACACAAGCCTTTGCTTCTGAACATGAAGAGAGGAGGCATAGGCTTAGCATGGCCAGGTACATTTAGAGAACAGCCACATGAAAAATTCCTATAAAATTTTGACATTAGATCTGAAAAAGACTAAAAAGAATTTAGCAACCTGACATGAAGCCACCAAGGTACAGAACGGCAAAGTTCAGGCTTTTAAATTGGAACCTCTTATTTATAAGGAAGATCGCATTCAATTCACGCTAAATAATCTCATCACCGTAAGACACCAGTTAACCCCAGCAATCGTAACTAGCAGCACCGTGGTGGCCTTTGCTTTCATTGTTTTTCTCATTCCTGCCTGCTTCATGAATGACACATGAAACAACAATGGAAATGAGTGCGGAAAGTTAATCTCGCAGTCAGCCAGGAATCCATAGAATGAGGCTGAAACCAAACCTGATCAGTCTGGTACTTCCCTGTGCCAAAAAAAACCCAGAGTTAAATTTAAAGCTTACAGAAAAAATAAGCTGAATTCTTCAAGTGATCCTAAGATGTGCAGCTTGTACAGATTATGAAATGTAACTTGTGGCACACAGGTCTTTATAAATGCTTGCCACATGTATACATAATGTTGTTTGAGCAGACATCAAACTGCACAACAGCCGTTCCAAACTCTAAGTGCAACACTAGTAACTTAGCAACACAACAAGAGAGAGTAAAACATGCGTGTTTAGATCCAGTCGTGTCTTACAGATAGGATTAGCATCTAAAGCAAAGCAGGTTGACAGCTCAGTTTGGCATTAGGTTTGCTGCAGGCCTGTGCCATCCCTCACCCCGTGCTGCATTCTGGGCTGGACTCCGTCTCTCCTGAATTGCTCCAGCTGCACTTGCTGCAGGTGACGTGCAATTTGGCGGATGCGGAGAGCACTGTGTTCCAGCCTTGGTGGAACTTGGATGTCGTCAACCACATCCAGCCTGCTCCCAACTCCCGGAAGGTCAGCGCAGGTGGAAAAAGACCACATTTTGGAAAATACTCTGCTGGACCTTAGGGTTTTCTCCTCCCCTGTTTCCCATCCTTCTCTTGGCTGCTTTTGGTAACTGTTTTCCACTGCTCAGGAAGTCCTGCGGTCTGTGTTCCATTACTGCACTGGGTTTTCCACCCCAGCCTTTGTCTCTTTCCCTTGGTCATTTCACATCATATAGGCTACAGTGGTATTACAAGAAAAATCCATGCAGCTGTCTCCCTTCAAACCCACATGGATTTTAAATATGAAAGAACGGCAGGTCATGCAGGGACATCCAGGAAGCACAGTCAGCTCCAGTGTGTGACAAGCGGACTTCTCGCTCTTGGGATGAATATGCATCTTGGGAGATTTGGTTTTGAATTTCGGAAAGTTTTTCTCAGTGCCTATTTAGGACATGCCTCTTCTAAGTCATGCCTTAGTTCACATGTGGCAAGAATAACAAAACATCTAAATACAGTTGAGCATCCTTAATTCAGAAATTCAAAACTGTGCTGACACAGTGCCCAGGAAATGTTACATTTGTGGTCACTTTTATTCAGGATACTTAGATTAGGGGTGCTCAACCAGGTAAAGTTATATGCAGATATTTCTGCAAACAAACTACTATGAAATCTGAAACAAGTACGGTCCCAAGTATTTTAGCTATGGGATACTCCACCTGTATACATTAACATTATAAAGGTGGAGTTCGGGCTATGTTGTACAATTTTTATCATGACATTCATACTACAGACAATATTTCACACCAAATGTTAGAAAAACAATCCGCCACTTTTCATGGTTTCAAATACCACATTGTTTTGCTAATGAGCAGTGAAGTCCATTTTCACATTCTAGACCCTGACATACAAAACCTATATTTGGCCTTTTGGGATTTAACCACTCCTGAAGACTCCAGGAGGGAATGAGCAGTTCTATACTTGGAATTAAAATCGCCCAGATGACATGCTCGATGACTTGGGCCAGCAATAACTCTCAAATGTCATAAATATTAAAAATGCTCTCGCAGCCATTTCAATGCGATACACACACCCGCATGCTCAGTCTAAAGCCCAAGTGTCTACTTTCAGAACTTCCCCAGACCCGTGATGAGCTTCTCCCCTTCCTTCTACCTGTTTTCCACTATGCAGGTAGAAGCCTGGACTCTCAGCCCCAGCTCTCACTGGAAATACTAGGTGTATCAAACTAAGCTCCACAGCCAGCCATAGCTGGGATTGAAGGTTACTGTGACTTTTGGACTCTTTTGAGCCCCTGACAAAGGACATTCCTAAGACCCTCTGTTGAAGACATGGCAGGGTAGGGGTCTACAGATGGAAGGACTGGCTGCAGAGACCCAGTGTCCAGCACGGGGCTCAGGTGGGGATGTGGAAGGACGGCCTGGGGCATGTGCTGAGGCAGTGCCCACTCTCTTGGGACCTTCTCTCGACCCTGTGGGTGCAAACGTGACTTCCCAGCCCCATGTGTGGCTGGTGTTAGCTGCGCTGTGCTGCGGCCATGGGCCAGTCTCCACCCATTCCCACAGCTGTGGGTGGAGGGGGTAGTGAGAAGGAAGAGCCAGAGGACCACAGAGCAACAGCATGGCTCCTCAGGTGTCCGCCAAGCATGGGGGCTATCACGTGGGGTCACAGGTATCTGCATGACAAACAGCAGCCAGTGTGTGCTGGAGAAGCACACTGAATGCCAGGCTGAAATGTGGACTGTTTGCATCTGCAGTCCCAGTCATCAGGCAGTCAAGGGCTAAGTGACTTGTTGAAGAACTCACAGGCCACAGAAGCTCCATGGGAGATTTCCCTGATGCTACAGCCCACTTCCCCTCCTAACCATGTGGTCTGGCCACCCAGCCCTAAGACTTTAGTTTCTTCACCACTGCCCTTCAGTCTTGACCTGTCTGGTGTCATTACTTGCTGTAGATTTCTCTCCCTTCCTCCTTTTCTATATTCACAAAGATAGTTTTTACAGGGGCTGGGGAGGAGAGGGGGGTAGGACGACATTTGCTTATTTCATGGATACCTTGGAACTGATCTATTTATGTGATAGAACACGAACCATCCAAGATTTGTCCCCAGCAGTCTTCCTTCATCTCCTGACTTCATCCTAGTTTGCCAAGAGTCTGGTCCAAGACACTTGCAGGTCAAGACTGCTCTGCCACCTTGAACTCTGCACTGCGTCATAGGCAGCAATCGCCTGGTCCTTCCCTTAGAACTTTTCCACATGTACAAATACATTAGTGTAATTTGAAGATGATTAAAGCCAGACTTATAATTGCAGCTTTGCATTTCCATTCTTTTGTCCTACAAGATGGCTTATACCAATTTACAACGTGTTGGGAAAAATGCCTCGCTATTCCTAACAGGATGCCAGTCCTGCAAGTGCTTAAGGAATGGTGATGATTCCTTCCTCATGATACATCCCAGCCCCTCTGGCAGAAAGGAGGAATAAGGAACTGAACAGCATGAAAAAAAAACCCTGCATTTTTTTTTCTTGAGTTTTCTATTATTTGGTTAACAGGCAGAAAACAGGAAGTTAAAACATGTTAGTGGTCAAAGAGGCATGGTGAACATACAGTAAGTAAAACAAGGTAAGTCCCACCTTTGTTGCCTCAAGGGCAGCAAAAGCATGAATGCCACAGGCATTCAAATGCAGGGTGATGCCCAAGTGCCTATGGATTAAAAAGTTCAAGCTGCCAGCAGAGGCACTGCCAGGGCAGTGTGTGCTGGGCTGGTTCTCACCGCCTCCCTGGCTGCAACACTTGAGTTTCCTTCTAACGCTGGTGTGGCTGCAAGAAAGTGGCCTCCCATGACAATGGACCAAAAAACCAGACAAACCCCACAGAGCCATTTCAAAGTTAGCCTGTAGGTGTGGTCAAAATGATTTCATCATTTCCTAATGTCGCTTCAGTTTTTGATTGAGAGAAATAATGAAACAGATGCAAACACAGAAGAGACTTTAACAAGTCCTCTTAAAAGCATGACTATACAATAAAATTGTAGATTTTAGCTTCCGTTTTGCTTTTGAAAGATAAAAGGTATTATCTTCAGGCTTCATAAAATTAAAATGACTATCATGCATTGAGCTCATCTAGTACAGAGTCACTTCTGCCCCATCTGTGTCCCACAGATCCTGCAGAATGCCCTAAAATGAAACACTGCATCAAGAAAAATTTGCAGACTTATCCTGAGAATGGGAAACCCAGCAACTGCCTAATAAATTCAGAAAGGTGGTTGACCCTTTAAACCTAAATCTCAAGCCAATACAAAAAAAGCGCCTTTTTTTTGGGGGGGGGTGGCAGGAAACAAATCCGAATGCTCTCCACAGGCAACGTAAACACAGTAATCCCTCCGGACTTACACACTCCCTCGTTCTGTGGCGGTGTGTGTCCTTTTTAAATAGCTTCACTTTTTTGAATTTTCCTGCTGTAGCTTCCCATGCCACTCTTTCACACAGTGACTATTTCAGAGTACCCATGAGGGAACGAACCTCTGCCCTGGATCACTACCGTGGACCACTTGCTGCACTGAGTGAATTCACACGAGAAACAAACTTTCTATCCCCAGAAACTGGGATGGAATACAGCTTCATACACACAGCAGCGGCCCCTCGGGTTTCCATCGAGCTGTTCCCCTGGCCACTCACACGCTCCCACGAGACCCAGCACTTACAGCGCTTGGCCCAGACCCCGCGCCCTCTCCACACCTGCGGGTTGGCAGCCATGATTGTGTAATTTCCGTCGTCGTCTAGGGTGGAGGCCGTGGTGTGCAGAGAGCAGGTCCCGTCGAGGTCTCTCTGAATGATGTAGTGATCGCTCTTGGGCGAGATCTGCTTCCCATCTTTAAACCAATAAATCTGGGGGGTGGCAAAGAAGGATTACAGCTGGTAAGCGAGCGGCGGTGGCATGTTCTCTCCCTGCCTGGAGGACTGCTCAGTATCTAGTGTGCGGGCTGCAGAGCTGAGCTTCCATCTTCAAACATTTAACTGAATGAAGGAACACTTGAACAGAATATTGATTTCTGAGCAAAAATAGTAATAATAATAATAACCCACAAAAACCTGGTAACAAATCCAATCCAGATTCAGTTAAAAATTATAGATCCTTAAAAAAATGGAGATAAAAAATAAGAATCTATATCATGCTTGTGTTTTTTAAAATACTGAACTTCTTTATGCAATTTAATTTATGCATTCATTTCACTGATGAATTTCATGTATGATGGAACGGAGGGGTTTCTGCTGCATTTTGGCAGTGATCATGTTGCTGAGGTATTTTCCTGTTTGGCCTCTGTCTTCTTTCCAGCAGAGGGGCAACTTCAATGTATTACTTGTCAAATCCAGGTGAAAAGGCTGTATGAGAGAACAAAGCAGACCTTGAACTTGCACCACTCTGCTGAGATGTGTTCACCCAATGCAGGTGGGTGCCAGGGAGGACGGCCACAGGGCAGGGCTGGGGAGGGTGGAAGTCTACTGCATTGCCGCTGGGCCAAGAGGCATGTGATGAAAAGGCTGAAAAGCCCAAGAGGGAACTGGGACTGACAGAAAACTCCAGTGAAAATAAAGTAAAAGTAAATTATACTCAAGAAAACACCAAAGTGCTGGAGGCACAGTTTTAAGATACCTAACTTGAATTGATGGAGATGGAAAAATTAAAATCTTAATATTGATTAGAAAATTTTACCTCTTTTAAAAATCCTTGCTTCCCTCATCTTTAAATAAGATTGGTTTATGACCATTCTGTTCTTATTTTTAAAAAAAGATTTATGTATTTATGTGAAAGGCAGTTACAAGGCAGGGAGTAGGGAGACGGAAGAAGGGAGATAGAGAGAGATCATCCATGAGTGGACTAGGCCAAAGCCAGGGGCCAGGAGTGGATGTAGGGGTCCAAGCACACAGGCCATCCTCAACTGCTTTCCCAGGTCACTAGCAGAGAGTTGGACTGGAAGAGCAGCAGTTGGGACTCGAACCAGCACTCACATGGGCTGCCATGTCACAGGTAGCGACTTAACCAGCTACGCCACAACACTGATCTGGTCATTTTTCACAATATATTTATTTGAGAAGGGCAGAGAGTGGGGGCTCCCATGCATTGGCTCATCCCTCAAATGCTCTCATTGGAGGTTGTACCAGGAACGGGTCTCCTGTGTGGTGGCAGGGGCCAGCTACTTGAGCTACCACCTGCTGCCAAGCAGGGTAGGCTTCGGCAGGAAGCTGGACACAGAAGCCCAGCTGGGACTGGAATCATGCCATGCAGCTCCTGGCCCCTCCCCTGAATGCCGCCCCCAGTTGCCATGTCTGATGGAGGATGTGAACTGCCCAGTCGGCAGGTGGGCCCAGCAGAAGGCACCTCAGTGCCCACAGCCCCACCTGCCATCACCGACATGCTATACTAATCTCTGCATCGCCTCTCCAGACTTAAGGTCAGGGAAGACAAACTCTCTTCTCCTTTACTCTATAAAAAACATTTACTTTTTTGAAAGAAAGGGAAGGAGGGAGCCAGGGAGAGAAGGTAAGAGGAAGAAGAGGGAAGAATGGGAGGGAAAGAAAGGGAAGGCAGGTGGGAGAGACAGAAGAAGGGAGGGAGAGAAGGAATCTGAATAATCTTTGTGAAACCTTTATTTTTAATACAGGAAAAGGCTAGCAACATCTAATAGATGTGTAATTTATCAAACTGTGCACTGTAACTTTTCTAGCTTATACCTTCCAGTTAGTTCTAAATGTACAGTAACTTCAATCTCTGGATGCTTAAAAGCAAATCAGGCTTCCCACAGATTTGATGTTTGGTTTTGCTTCCATTTTAGCACAATCCGTACAGCTCGGATAAGTGACTCAGGGGCTGCTGTGCTCCCCTGCTCAGCGTCTGTGTACTCCACACTGTCAGAAGTTCAACTTACTCTTTTTTTTTTTTTGTAAAGATTTATTTTTATTGGAAAGTCAGATCTACAGAGAGGAAGAAAGACAGAAAGGAATATCCTCCATCCATTGGTTCACTCTCCAAGTGGCCACAATGGCCGGAGCTGAGCCGATCTGAAGCCAGGAACCCGGAGCTTTTTCTGGGTTTATTACGTGGGTATAGGGTCCCAAGGCTTTGGGCCATCCTCAACTGCTTTTCCAGGCCACAAGCAGGCAGCTGGAACATGCACCAGCACCCATATGGGATCCCAGCACATGCAAGGCAAGGACTTTAGCCATTAGGCTTCTGCACCGGATCCTAGGCTTCCTCTTTCTAAAGCAGTTTCCCCTCCCCGACCTCTGCCTGCCAACATAGAAAGGCACAATTTTACAAATCACAGAGTTGAAGTCTTGGGGACTGGCAACATGGCACAGTGGGTGAGGCTGCCACTGCAACGCTGGCATCCCCTATGGAGGCCAACTCAAGTCCTGGCTGCTCCACTTCCTATCCAGCTCCTTGGTAAGGACTGTGGAGGATGGCCCAAGTGTTTGGGTCGTGCTACTACCCACGTGGGAGACCCTCAATGAAGCTCTTGGCTCCTGACTTTGGCCTGGCCCAGTCCTGACTGATGTTGCCATCTGGGGAGTGAAACGGCAGAAATGATCTCTGTATGTATGTATATATCTCTCCATCTCTCCCCATAACTCTGATATCAAATCAGTCTGTCTTTAAAAGAGAGAGAGAAGGAACTGGGCACCAGAGCTGTGCCTGTGCCTGAAGTAGACAGTCAACAACAACAACTACATTAAAGTTTGCATAACCATGGCTTCCCTGCATTACTTCACATGGTATAGAATCCTCTGCACTTGGGGGAGTTAGTGCATTCACAGAGCTCAGTTGAGCCATTTTTCCTTTGGGAGTAACCACAATTAGTAAATGACATAGATGAGTGATTAGCTCAGTTATTCAATGGATGTTGCTAAGGCCCGTCCCCCTCCCTTCCTCCTGCCTCCCATCCTTTATACTCCACCAGTCTTTATTTTTTCTAATGCCCCTAAAGGAAATCCTGAACTTCACACATTTTACGTCCTGGGTGTTGAGAAAGCTCATTTGTGTCTCAGCCTCATGCTGCACACGCTGTATTTTTCAAAGGTTGGTTTGTCTAGTGGAAAGTGAGATAGCGACAGAAAGAAAAAGACTGGCTGAGTCTGGGGGCAGGAGGGAGGTGGGGAGAAGAGATGGAAAAGTAGGAATGTAAGAGAGGTCAATGATTTTTATCTTTGGGACAAGACCTCTGTCCCCGTCACTGCCCCCATCAAGCAATAAGCCCCTGATCTAGCCAGCGTGAGGCCAGCCTGGATGCTTCACCCTGCCCCCCTGGTGTCATGTATGGCCTCGGGGGCCTTCAGGCCAGCTGTGAGCTGTGAGAGCAGGTGGAAGGGGTACTGACACCTGGGATTCCCAGTGGTGGGCTTCAGCCAGTGCTGCCCCTGGCTCCTCTACCTCCAATACAGTTTTCTGCTATTGGTCTAGAAAAAGTAAAAGATGGCTCAAGTGCTTGGGTCCCTGCACCCATGTCAGACACCCAGATGGAGCTCCAGGCTCCTGACTTTGGGCCTGGTCCAGTTCTGTCCATCGTGGTCATTTGGAGAGTCAACCAACAGAAGAAAGATCTCCCCGTCTCTTCAACTTTCTCTGTAACTTTGTAATAAAATGTATATTTTAAAATAGAAGGGTTTTTTTTTTTTTTCTATCTTAAGGTTCATTTTTCAAATGCTCCCAACTGCTTAGGCCAGGGAAGCCGGGATCCAGGAACTCCACCTGGGTTTCCCACATGGGTGGCAGGAACCCAAGTACTGGGGCCATCACCTGCTGCCTCCCAAGCACATTAGGATGAAGCTGGTTTGGAAGCAGAGGAGCTGCAACCGGAAACCGGCATGCTGGATAGGGGAGGCGGGCACCCCAAGTTTTGAAAGCGAAACTCTTCCTTAACAAGATACAGTCTGCTATGTTTTGGGTATGTCCTTCTGAATGCATCGGCTGCCCCAAGACAGCATTGTTGACACTTGGGACCCTGGGGAGGAGACAAAGTCATGATTCTGTTGTCATGAGTGGATCAATCCTGCCCAACTGCTGGGAGTGAAGCACTACGGCACCTTCACCAGCTCCAAGACTGCCCAGTCTGCAGAACCGAGGACCAAAACCACCTTCGCTCCAGGCACCAGGACCCACCACAGTGTTTCAGCTCACCTTTGGCTTTGGGTTTCCAGCCACTCTGCACACGAAAGTCACCGGCATTCCCTCAAAGATCTTGAAGTGTTTCAGCTTCGTCTCAAAGAACGGGGCCACTCCGTTTTCCACAGGTGCATCTCCATGTTGAATGTCATCGCCCGATTCATCCACAGGAGACCTTTCTAGCCTGTACTCTATTTCACTGATGAGTCTCTGCTCACAGCTGGACACTTTGTATTCCTGTATCAGACAAAGCAAGTTCACTTCAGCCACTGCAGTCCCTGGGGCCATGGTCTGTCTCAAGAGTTCCCTTCCCCTTTCCAGTAAAGCACCTGGGTATATTTTTTATCAAAGAACTTAAAAACCACTTGGTCCAAGTCTAGCTCAACTTTATACAAGGCAAAACTCAACAAAAACATCTGGAAGCCAGCGTACATGATTATTTCAAATTGTCTTCAGGTCCACCTTAAAAAAAAAAAACCCACATATACACCAGAAAAAAGCCAACCAATGAACATGACTTCTTTTGTTCTTTTTTCTTTCTTGGCAGATACAGGGGAGAGACTAGGTGGGTAGGGAGGTGGGAATAGAGGAAATGAAAAAAACAAAGAGCAAAGACTAGGTATTCCTAAACTGTTTGTAAAACTCAAACTGGCTGGGCCACTGCAGGAGAAAGTTGGTGCAAGGCAGGACCCCAGTGTGCAGGCACACAGCACATATGGCTGGAAGCTGGGTGTTGTCCAGAATTTTATCAAATGAGCAATGGCCATGTTGCCACTACCTTATTTCTCATGTAACAGCTCCGTTTCTCCTGGGGCCCTCTCCTTAGCTCTGCAGAGATGGGCAACCCATCCACTGTAAAAGTAAACTAGGGCTAACAGGCTAGTCATGAGGTTGGCTGCAGAGGAACACAAAAGCAAGACAAAACAAACTTGGACATCCCTGGCGGGCAAGGTAGCCCATTTGGAAACATTTCTTGTTTGCTATTAGGCAAGGGATTATTCTCACCTGCTTTTCTGCTAAAGAAGTTACTCTACTCTTAGCTCAGTTTGTTGATTAGAAGAGAGGAATAGAATGGTATGGAAAAAACCCAAACTGCAAAAAGCATGCCACAAGTTGTTTTTGTTTTGTCCAGTTTCTACATCTTTCTAGAAACATAGACTAGAAAGCTGTTTGAGATTTGAAGTTCACCTTGCCCATTCATGACAGAAGTAAAATTCCTGTTTGTTGAGAATTCACAAGAAAAATAATGTGGTAGTAATGTTGTGCTTCTGGTATACATGCAAACTGATCCTGGTCACTGCCCTTCTGATACACGCGTGACAGTCCAGACAGACACACGGGTGAAAAGGGAAGCTGGGAGGCACACACAGTGGACATGAGTGAGAGAAGAAGGCAGAAAGCTTGACCTTTTGACCTTCCAGAGGACTCCCTACAGAAGCGTGAGGAGACCCGATGTCCTGTAATGGCAGAAAAACAGAAGTGAAGGCTGACAATAAAGGTAACGGGGAGGAAGCACAACTTGAAGCGTCCCCAAAGTGAAACTTGGAGGGTTGCAAGATTTCATGTAGAAAAGCGATCTGATTTTGAAGGCAGGCCCATGTCTCAGCGGATAGGGGACCCTTGGAGCTCATCTTTTGCATTTCCTTGCAGCCTGAGACTACATGTGGAAACTCCAGCCAGAATCAGGGGAGATCAGTGAGCCACTGGCACCAAATCCTGGAATTGACTTGTGTATGGTGGTGGCAGGGGAACCAAAACAGTGTTTTGAGAATTCTGTGGATTAGTGATTTATAACCACACGTGGAGGCAGATAAAGATGTGGTCTTCTATGTACACAGACTGTTTTGGCTTAATATATTTGACTATATATTAAGAATATGACTATATATTCCTGAGTACATATGAACAACATAGTGGGATCTACTCATTAGCTACTTCCATCAGTGTCAATGAAAATGTCTCCACACAAAACTTTCACTATAGCACAGGATAGAAAAATCACATATCCGAAAGGGGAATAAACCAGTCAATCAGAAGATTTTAAAAAGTTAACACAAATATCAGTAATAAATAATTCTGGCAGCCGCTCAGCCTGGTGTCTGGTACAAAGCACGTGTTCAGTCACACCTCTGAGCTTGGTTTGATGACAGTTTTACAGTGACCGTGCCCTCCACTGTCCCACAGAACTGATCAAGAATGGTGTCCCTGCAGAGCATGGAGAAGGGGGACGGTGCTGCTGTCCTTTGTTCTAAGAAGTCCAGACCCACAGCATACCTGGTTAGCAGTTTCCTCTTCTGGCTCCTGAACGTGGAAGACGGTTGCACTGTCAGCACCCAGCAGCCGCCGAGCCATCCTCTCCTCATAAGTTAACCTCTAAGAAAATAAGTCACAAAACGCGCAAAATTAGAGGGGGGCGGGAGGGGGGAGTCACAACTACATGTTGCCTTGGGCCAAAGACTACAAAACCAGAACGAGCTGCCTTGCTTCTTGCCATGTGCCTCAGATCACTGCATTGTCTTTCCCTTGCTTAAGTTGTTCTGCCTGTCACCTCCCCTCTGATCCCACTGGCATCCTGTGTTGGGAGATGCCAACTAATTTTATTAAAGATGTATGCATTCGTTTGAAAGAGTTACAGAAAAAGGAGAAGGTAGAAGGGAGGGAGAGGCACATGGACAGAGATGGCGCTCCTTCCTTCCCTGGGGTCACTGCCCAACAGCCACAAAGACTGTGGCTGGGCTGGGCCAAATTCAGGAGCCCTCAGCTCCATCCAGATCTCCCGTGGGGGCGGAAGGGACCCAGGCAGTTGGGTCATCTTCCGCTGGCTTCCCAAGCACATGAACAGGGAGCTGGATTGGAAGCGGCGCAGCTGGGAACTGGTTCTCCTACAGGATGTCAGTGTGACAGGTAGCAGCTGCCATGTCGCAAAGCCAGGGCCCTGAGAACTAACCTTGAGGGCTGCCAACTGACCCAGCACACACTGTAAAGCCAGAATAAAGCAATGGGGCAGCCACCACATGGAAGATGTGGGCCATGTCCTCGTACATAATGAAAAACAGAGGACATGTGATTCAGTGTCATCTGCAGGCTTCAGAGCAGCCAAGCAGGTTATAGGACTAAGAAACACAGGAAGGCCTCCCAAGGGAGAATCCACTGATCAAGAAGGAAAGAAAACGGACAGGCATGGCCAGCTGCCTGAAACAATCCTCCCAATTACCCCATGAAATGTGGCTAGCAAGCAGCGCTCAGGTTAAGACCCACACAGTTTTTGCTAGGTTATTCTTAGGTTGTAAGTCACAGCAATGTTTTTGTTCTGCAGGTCGTAGTGCTTCTTGTTTCTAGGGTGTCTTAGGATGATGGTGCCAGGGTGGGGATGTTCAGAGACCATCAGCCCCCTCAAGGACATTTTACAAACAAGAACAACAAGGCAGAATGGACAAAAAGCACAGAAGTGATTTCAGCTGTTTCCAAATTTCAGAATTTTGATAAGAATTCTGGAATCTTTCTAATCAGGAAAATATGTTGGATAAATGAAAAATTTCCAGTAATTGCTGGTTCTGGTCCCAGATGAAACCAGGAAGTGAAATAAGTCAAGTGCCAAAGGACAAATTATCTCAAAGTTCAAATGATTTTACTTAATGAAGACACAGCAGGGAAGAGGAGGAGTGAGAGCTCAGGCTGGGGGGCTGTCAGGTGACGGCATCAGTTTCGAGCGACACTCCGCCAGCACTTGGCTGGGTTTCAGCAGTAGTTTCCCCAGCAAAGGGGATTTTTGTGTAGAAGCAGCACCATATGGTAGGATCCAAATTCTCCTTTTGGTAACCTGCATAGCAGCCCCTGGCCTCTGGGAAAATACAGACCTGCCCTGAGTGTGTGGGCGCCCTGCCTCGCAGCCTGCGCCAGGCCACATGGCATCCTGTGCTGTCTGTACACGTCCACAGCACCATGCACAGGTGTATGCTCTCAGCTCCAGGAGCTGCCCTTCCATATTCCTGTCCCTGCAACTCATCACATCACCTCAAGACTGAGGAGGAGGAGGAAGCAAGGAAGGTCATGGTAAAAGGAAACCTATCTCTTTGTCTCCCTCCTCCCTTCATTCAGGTCCTCATACTAAGAAGGCTGTTGAGGCTCAAGGATTCTACAGACAAATCTTCAGAGCCTAGTCTCAGTGAGTTGAGCAAAGTGACCTCTGGTGCAGGCAGCTCCCAGCCCGGCCCAGGCCCCGGAGCTCTCAGTACCGGCTGCCCATTGTTCAGGAGGTCCTCCTTGAAGCGAAGTTTGCGTTCCAAGTCTTGGATGACAGCATCCTTTGTGCCCTGGATCTCCTCATCAGAGGCTATCCTCGCTGTCCTGCCGGCCTTCTTTGGGAACCCCCTGAGGGACAAAAGCAAAAGGCAGTAGAGTCAGTTGTCGGGCACAGACACCCCACTGCAACCCCCCCAGCCCCGCAGACAGCTCAGTGTGTCAGCGTGCCACATTCCCTTATGCCCAGACTTCATAGCTCCCTGGGAAAGGAGAGAGCTGCTCTCAGCAGTTCAGGAAATCTTAAATCGAAACCAGTGTTCAAGGTTCCAAGAGCCGGGCAGTATGTCTTAGGACAGTAAATTCAAGCAGAGGGAAGACTTGGTTTAGTCCTGGGGAGGCAGCGAAGTAGAGGAAAAAACCAGCTGATCTGTGACAAGTGTTTAACATCTTACTCTACCTCCTATTAGTTTGTGGCCCAGAGTCTGTTTCTTACCATCATCTTTTCTAAAGCAGATAGAAGAAACATATACCACATGTGAATGCTGAAAAAGTTTGAGAAGTAATCATGCTTCTTTCATACTCTTATTGCCTCTTCCAGCCCATATAATTCATTTATTTAAAAACGAACCCTGCCCTATTTCTAAGAAAATGCAGACTGAATGTCCTTTGCCCCAAATACTTGGGGATAGAACGGTTTGAGTTTCAGATTTGGGAATATCTGCACACATACACACAGTTTGCGGATGGGACCCGTGCCTAAACCTGGGCTTCATTTACGTTGCCCGTGTACCTTAAACACATAGCCTGAGGGTAACGGCAGAGACAGCTGTAGTGCACCTGCATTTTGACTATGATCTGTCACTTAAGCGTGGAATTTTCCAGTTGTAGCATTACATCAGTACTCAGAAAAAATCAGATTTTGAAATATTTTGGAAGTTGGATGTTTGACTTGGGTATGTTCAATCTGCATCAAGTCTGTCATCTTCCCTGGTATCCCTTTGCATCCTTCCTTTGGCTAGAGCCTCCCAACCACCTGAAGAGCCCCGGGCTCTTCACACAGGTGGCACCTCAGAAGCCTTCTAAGGCCAGCAACACCGCCCTGGGCCGAGTGAGTCCAGGGTGGGTGTGGACTCACATTTGTTGGAACCTTAAGGAAATTGCTTCCCCCTTTTATTCCTTTACTCTCACAGGGTAGTGCAGATTTCATGAGAAATGGAATACTATTTCATAGTGAAAGGAATGACCCATCACAACCCATCTCAACAAGCCAATTCCAAAAGCAAACTGTGAGATTAAAAAACAAAAAGCAAGTCACAGAGAAGAATGCATATAAATGTATTTCTGTTTATAAATGGACTACGGTGAAATAGCCCACAGCCAGGAAACTTGTCCTCAAAGTGTGTTCCCGGGACCAACAGCATCAACATGATCCAAAGGACTGCTAAAAATGCAGACTCTTGGCCTTAGTGCAGACTTACGTGACCCATGAAGTGTGACTTGGGGTTTAGTGATTTGTGTTACAGCAAGTGCCATGGGTGACTATGACACACATGAAAGCTTAAAATTCAGAGAAACATATGCATAGTAGAAACAACAGAAGATAATGGTCGACTCTGAAACTCAGGGTAGTGTGTGCCTCCTACTGAGGAAAGGAGACACGATGGAGAAGGAGACCTGTTAGCAGAAGTATTAAAAATAGATCAGAATTTCTAGAGGTACTAGAAATAGGTAAGATTTTCTATACCACCAATGATAAGATATTTCTTGTGAGTCAAGGGCATTGTACACTTGATGTTATGGGCAAGGCAGAAGTTCCAGGCTAAGGATACACGCACACATTGGATTCACTAACCACTCTTAGGTTCTCATTGTGTCACCCAACAGTGCTGGCAATAAGATGGTCAGATAGGAGACTGCTGGTCCAACCCTCACCCCTATCCAGGCAGTCACATGCGCCTTACTCCACCTCCCCCTGCTGCCTTGCTACATTATTCCTGACTGTACGGGGTGTTCACCCTCCCAACAGGAGCTCTGCCAGTCTGTGTGGATTCAGTCCCCTGGACAGTTAGCCAGAGGCGCTGTGATGTCTTTTTGCTGAAGGACAACAGAAGCGGGAGTGAAATGGTAAGGTGCTCTAGATAAAAATTTCCCATCGCAAGGCAGTGTATGCTTTGAAAGGAACTGTACACTATGAAAGGATGAATCTTACAGTCTGGAAATTGTACCTAAATAAAAATTCCAAAATGAAAAAAACAATTTACCATCTACAATAAGAAAACACACAGGAAGAAGAGGTTGCCTGCTTCTGTGAGCTAACACACCATGTAACAGCAAAAGCTGCAGGCTCCAGTCCGTGGCCAAGACAGAACACATAATCCATGATAAACCAGGACGGAACAATCTGGGGCCCCCAGTGAAAATCGGGGGGAGCACTATGCCAACGCATTGCAAAACCGTGCCATCCAAACCTCGTTAATCAAGTCAAGAAACTCTTCACACAATCAACTTGCAACTAAGTCTTCTGACCCTCACAGTGGCAAGCAGCCCAATAAAACATGCCATTGAAATGTCACAATGTCCTGTGGTTGGAAGCTCAAGGAAACAGCCAGAACACATTGGAAATTAATCTTGATAGGCAACTGGGCAACGGACCTGAGAGAGCTTGATGGCAGGAGGTGAAGGGATTATGGTTTACAGCCTCAATTTTGAGAGCCATGCATTCTTTAAACATAGCCATGCCCAGTAGTACAGTGGGTTAAGCCTCTGCCTCTGATGCCAGCATCCCATAAGAGTGCCAGTTTAAGAACCAGCTGCTCCCTTTGCGATCCAGCTCCCTGATAATGCACCTAGGGAAGTAGCAGATGCCTTAAATCCTTAGACCCTGCACCCATGTAGCAGACGGAGATGCAGTTCCACTTGGCCTAGGTCCTGTTTGTTGTGGCTGTGTGGGGAGTAAACCACCAGACTGAAGACCTGTCTCTCTTTCTGTAACTCTACCTCACAAATAATCTTTCTATAAAATATGCAGACACCAGCACCATGGGTTAGGAGGTTAAGCCTCTGCCTGCATTGCTGACAATCCCCTACAGGCATTGGTTCATACCCTAGTTGTTCCATTCTCCATGTAGCTCCCTGCTTGTGGCCTGGGAAAGCCGCAGAGGATGGCTCAAAGCCTTGGGACCCTGTATCCGTATGGGAGACCTGGAAGAAACTCCTCCCTCCTAGCTTCCAATTCGCTCAGCTCTGGCTGTTGTGGCCACTTTGGGGAGTGGATCAGCAGATGGAAAATCTCTGTCTCTCTCCTCCCCTCTAACTCTGCCTTTCAAAAAAAAAAAGGTAAAAAAAATCTTTAAGAAATGTGTATATTTTGGTGTCTTCCCTAATCTGGTTCCCTCTCCCATCTGTAACTCTTTCCCCAGTGTCTGTCAGCCTTTAATTAATGTCTCCCAGGTACCCAGTTGGTTACTGTACCATGTTTGTTTTCTTATTAGCACCCATCACACTCCAGTATGTGTTCTTTAAAAATGGTCCCAGCCACCATGGCTCTTCTGTAAATTACAATGCTTGTTAATAGACACTCAAATAGTATTGCTGGGATGAGTGAATGGCTGCATTATGGATCTGCACTTGGACTCCTCTCTAACCTCCTCTCCCTCCTCAGTCTTGTGCCAGAACTATCTGAGGTGAGACCTCATGTGCAAAGCCAGCTTCTGAACAAATACCAACTGCAGCATTCGGGAAGTAGAGCGCTGGGTTTTAAAGTCACCCCAGAGGTAAAGAGGAAGACAGGTACTCTTGGTTACTTCAGACGCTGCAAACATACAAGTTCCTACTGTTACTCTCAAAGCTGAGCAACATCACCAAATTGCACAACTGTGTGATGACTAGCAGCCGCTGATGACAGAAGGTGTCACTGCGTTTGACCGCAGGCTATGTGAGAGCTGTGCTCTCGGCGCTAATGAGAAGGATGGGGAATAACGCGTGACCATCACGGGCAGATGAGATCAGCCGCAGAGAAGCAGAGACCTTTTCCTTTAAGACAAGCCAGAAGTTCCACTGGATAAGGAAACACCTGTCTATTCACTGCAGAGGTTCGGCTGCTTGCACAGCACAGTCTGATGCACTTCATTCTTTCAGGGGGTGATTAGAACTGGTCCCGTGCATCTCGCAGAAAGCCCCTCCCCGTGCCTGGGGTTCCTGTCACACATGTATTTTCTTGTTTCAAATACAACTATTAACATTGCTCTTTGGAGGTGGATGTCATGGTGCAGCATGTTAAGCTACTGCTTGGGCTGCCTGTACCCCATATTCAGAGTGCCTGTGATGGAGTCCCACCTCTATTTCTGATCTAGTTCCTTGCTAATGTTCCTGGTAGTTAGCAAATGACAGCGCATGTACGTGGATCTGTGACACTCAGGTGGGAGACCCAGATGGAGATCCTTGCTTCTGGCTTCAGACTGGTCCAGCCCCTGTGGTTTTGATCATGTGGAAAGTGTATCAACAGATGGATGATCATTCTGTCATTGTGCTTTTCAAATAAATAAAAATAAGCACTTAAAAACATTTACTCTTTTGGGCTGGTGTTGCAGTGAGACACGTAAAGCCACCACTTGCAATACTGGCATCCCAGTTCAAATCTTGGCTGCTCCACTTCTGATTCAGTTCCCTGCAGGAGCTCCTGGGAAAGCAGTGGAGGATGGGCCAAGTGCTTGGGTCCCTGAACCCATGTGCAAGGCTGGGAAGAAACTACTGGCTCCTGGCTTCAGCTTGGCCATGGCCATTGCAGCCATTTGGGAAATGAACCAGCGAACAAAGACTTCCTCTACACCCCTTTCCCCCCATTCTCTGTCATTCTGCCTTTCAAATAAAATATGTTTACTCTTTGGCCAAATAAGGATGCTTATAATTTCTTTCAGTAAGTCAGTTTCCTAAACACAGTAAAATTACTAGCATTATTAAAATATTTACTTAATTTCTGGTTCTCCTTTTCCAATAACATTTTATTTTATTTACAAACTTCAAGGTACTCATCTTCTGGATCTGAACAATACTGTAGTAAAAATGAATAGGAAGCTAACAGAAATGTCTAACAGTTATTCCAAAAATGTTACTAAATAACTAGCTATGCA